CTTCAAGCACTTGGGTGACGTGTTCCGTTTTGCCCATCTGTCAGTGGATGGTCCGCAGTGGGATATCTGCAGACGAAATTTCCAGTAAATATAACAGCGTTTTCCAAAACGCAGCCGCGAATCACGGGTCTCGGTGCGAGACAATCTGTCTCCGGGAGACCGTGACAGCGGAACACCCTATCGACGAGAAACCTTGCGGTTTGTCGCCCGTAACAGTGACGGCGACCGGAGCAAGATGTACCATCTTGCTCAGTCGACACACGAACACCAAAGTTCCGGTGTTGCCGTGTCCGTCGGCGGGAAGCCCAAAGATGAAGTCAAGACTCATCGACTTCCAACAGTCAGCTGGTACGGGCAGGCTCTGTAGTGGAGCCGAAGAGTGCCCTGCGGGTTTGACCCGGTGACATGTTTCACATGTCTTAATGTATCGGGCGACCCACTTGTACATGTGGGTCCACCAGAAGGCCTGAGAGACCGACAGCAAGGTCTTCTCGCGGCCCAAGTGGCCGCTGGAGGGCGCGTCGTGCGCCTCCGCGAGGATATCGAGCTTCAGATCCTCGTCGTTGGGTACGATTACCCGTGGAGGTTCATTGGGCTCCACCCGGTAATAGAGGAGGCCATCCTTCAACTCATATCGGTAGAGCCGTGAGCGCTGTCGCGACGAGAGCCAGTCGGACTTCGCGCTCGCTCCTGCCTTAAGGAACTTGACGATAGGCGCGACAGCCTCATCGTCCCGATACGCCATGCGTATCCGATCATATAGATCCGTTGTCACCCGCGTGATGTGGGCCAAACTCATAGTCGGGACGCCGAGAGAGGGCGTCCGCAAGCACGTTGAGCTTGCCCGGGCTTGTATTCGACGCGCAAGTTGTATTCCCGCGAAGAAGGACAGCCACCTCGCCATCCTTTGGGAGAGGTGAGGCGAGTTAGTCGCCGTCCTCAAGGGCGCGTGGTCTGTGTAGATCACAAAGGGTCTAGAGCCCAGAAGGTGAACACGGAACTTCACAAGGGCATATTTCATTGCCAGGAGCTCCTTGTCATGGACAGGGTAGTTCCGCTCGGCGGCGTTGAGCTGCCTGGACTGGAACGAGATGACTCGTTCGTGTCCAGCCGTGTCGGCCTGCAGCAATGCACATCCGATGGCGTAATCGGAGGCATCGCAGACGACGCTGAACGGCTTCGTCTCGTCCGGCAGGGCCAGGACAGGGGGCTCTTGGAGACTGGCCTTGATGCTGTCAAAAGCATCCTGGTGCTCTTGCTCCCAGCGCCAGTCGACGTCCTTCTGAAGGAGGCTCGACAAGGGCTTAGCGAAGCCCGCGTACCCAGCGCTGTACTTGTGAAGGTAGTTGGCCAAGCCCAACCACTTTCGAAGATCCTTCTGGGATCGGGGCGTCGGCCATGCTGCTATGGCCTTGACCTTGTCTGGGTCAGCCCGAACGCCCACGTTGGCTTAGAAGGCAACGGAGGAACCTTTGATTCTATGAGTGACGCGAAAACGCACTTGTCGATGTTGGCGTAGAGCTTTTTCTCTCTCATCTCACGTCCACCACTCGACGGAGGTGTCCTAGATGCACCTCCATGGCCGTCTTGCCTCCCTCGGCACGGCTATGGACGAAAATGTCGTCGAAGTACGTCTGTACGAAGGTACGCAAAGGGCGGAACAA